ACTATGTTATTATATTACTATATTACTATATTATTACATTACTATGTTATCATATTAGTATTATATCATTTTATTATTATATTATTGTATTATTATATCATTATATTATTCTATTATTATATTATTATCTTATTATATTATATTATTATATTATTTTATTACTATTTTACTATTCTATTGTACTATTATATTATTTATTGTAATATTATATTAGTTTATTGTTATATTATTATACTACTATATTACTATGTTCCTATTTTTTGTATATTATTATATTATTATATTATTATATTATTATATTATTATATTATTATATTATCATATTATTATATTATTATATTATTCTATTATTATATTTTTATATTATTTTATTATTTTATTATTATATACTTTTTATTATTATAGTATTATAATATTATATTATATTATATTATGTTATATTATATTATATTATATTGTATCGTATTGTAATGTATTGTATTGTATTGTATTGTATTATTATATTATATTATATTATATTAAATTATATTACATTACATCATATTATATTCTATGATATAATAATATAGTATAATATATTCTACTATATTATATTATAATATTACATTATATTATATTATATTAGATTATATTAGATTATATCAAATTATATATAGTCAGTTTTGTTGATGTGACCTGTGGATATATTTGGATGTAGTATACAATCCAAAGATGTTGTTGCAACGCCTGAACGGTCTCTGCAAATGCAGGCAAACTATGAGCCAGAAGCAGACGAACCATCTGCAAAGAAGAGCAAAGTCTCAGAATGAGCAGCAAAAATTGAAATCAATGATTCGGATGATTCGAATACATCAGTGATAGTGTGCGAAGCATTCCCAGCAGCCCCAATTTCGAATCTGTGCCGTTTGTTTTTGTTTTCCTAAATTCCGTTGTCAGACTGTTGCAGAAACTGGTTCACTCCGTTTAAGCTATTGTGAAGATGGCTTGCTGGGGGCTTCAGAGCTGGACCCTTGAGGCTGGGAGCCTGTTGGAATTTCACACAGGTTTGATCCAAGGCATGGGACAAGCTCTGAGAAGCTCTGAGAAGCTCTGAGAAACTTCAGATATTTGGGATGCTGTGTGCCGTCCCCATGAAAAAGTGTTTTACATGGAGGAGTAGCTGAGTACCGCTTTAGCCGCTTTGGCTGTGATATTGGAGCAGCTGTCACTGCGGGACGGAAAGACATTGCACCAAGCTCCAGGTACAGTTGCATGTAGCCTATTTGGCTCAGGGACAATGACATGCTCCACTTTAGAGTTCAACTTTCCACGACTTTCCATTCTTGAACATTTGTTTTCACATCCAGCAGCGGGCACTGCCCTTTTCGAAACTCTTGACGGTTTGAAGCTGACACTGAGAGGAGCTGCCCTGAAGCCATGGCGGAGCTTCTTCGCTCCATTCCACCGCTGCCGAGCACTGAGCGAGGGACATTTTGTTCCCTTTCCTCCGACAAAACTGGCAACATGGCTGAAAGGTGGTGGAATCACAAGTTTGTTTGGGTAGGCAGCCGATAAAGGTGAACATTTGAATTGAATATATAGATAGATAAATAGATGGATGGATGGATGGATGGATAGATAGATAGATTTCAGTTCATGATTTCCTTAAGTTTCAGTGTGTTTGCAGTGTGTTGACTACGCAGGACAACTCAGGGTTGGAACTAGTTGAGAACATGTGACAGTAGTAAGGTGAGCGAATTCTCTACTGCACTGGGAGCAACGTTGTTTGGCGGCCTACAGCCTCCTTGACAGAAGGAGGAGAAAAGGCGGAAGAGGTCTTCTGTTGGAAAGGCCGGGTGATGGAGCTCAAGGGCTGCTCAAGTCGCTGATGGATTTAAACTAAAGAGTTTCAACAGGCTGCTTCTGAAACTTGAAGTCAGAGAAGGTTGGAAAGGATAGATTTGGAAAAGACTGCACTTTTTGGCTGCTTTAGTTCTAGTCCTTGAACCAGCCTTGGTTTATTGAGGTCATGTGAAGAACACAACTTGCGCTGCGATGTCACCGAATGGCCAGTGGGTGGTTTCAGGCAGAGTTTTGCTGGACTTTTTGGTGTTTCATCAGGTGTGGCTCAATGTGTATCACGTGTGGAGAGTTCAGCATCCTGCAGGTGATGTGACGGGTGCCGTCAGACTTTGGGGTGCCAAGGGTGAACATGCGCAGAAGAACGAGTACAAGCTCTGGGAGACACAGCTTCATTTTTTCGTCCACGTTTGCTCATGAGAACCCTTGCAAATCCATCTCGGATTTCAGTATGGACCGCTGCAAAAGGAAGATATCCTAACAAGTACCATATCCAAACAGTAGCAGCTGTAGCAGCAATGTTGTCCATTTCCAAGTTTCAAACAATAGCCAACACAAATTGTGGCCATTTTGTCAGGATGGTACGGTGAAGGATGTTGGTTGGAGTGACGACTCTGGTCGTTTCTTGGTGTTGAAACTGGATGTCTTTAGATGTGTATGATGTCTGTATACGAGTTGCTGCTTTTATGCTGCAAGATGTTTAAGTCGGCAATTGACCCAGACTTGTAGTGTCCGAATCCAGTGATGCGGTGATTTTTTCGAGCTGCGATGTCGACATTGAAACTGTGACATCGTGACTGTTGATCCATGTTGATCCATGTTGATCCATGTTGATCCATGTTGATCCATGGTTATGGGAGGAAACGTGTTGATCTTCTGTGAGGATTGGTTGCTTGCGGAGATGGGAAAGAAGTTCGCGCAGTGGCGATGATTTGGGATACTGGCAGCAAGACCGGAGAGGTGGCGGGGCACACAAAGCAGGCCTCCGGGGGCAGGTTGGTTCGACAGTGCGACTGATATTGGTGTACAACGACTAGCTATGGCATCGTTACGGCTAGGCGGCTAGTTGAAGCAACTAAGTAGCCTGAAGAAGTTGGATGAAGTAAGTGCAGTCAAAGTGCAGTGATGGATGGAGTGGTGGTGTTGCATCTCAGAGAAGTCAAGCTTTTCTCATCTTTTCTCTAGTATGAAGCCGGTGAAGATCGGTGCGTGCACTGGCAGGTCAATTCGATTTCCTTTCGGTCACAACGGCCCTTCAAGATTGCCACTGGAGGAGAGGATATGCTGGTGGCTTTTCACCAAGGACCCCCTTTCAAGTTTGTCAGGCGCGGCCCCAGGCCGCGGCCGTCGGGTTCCAAGGAAAAGGTATATAGCAATGGCAAACTCCGAACACAAGGATCTCTCATCATATAGCATGCAATCTCAGTTCCAATGTAGTGAATCCCCATCTAATTATCTAATGTGTGGCTCTTGATAAGAGTTCTTATTTTTGGAGAATGTTGGAGATTCATTGCTCCTTTGGAAGATGCCGTGTTCGAATCTACATTTCTCACCTTTGAACCACACTTTCATGTGTTTGTAATCCCAGACCTTCTCAGCGATACTTCAACCTTTCACTCTTTTGACACCCTGAAGGTCTCATTCAACTCACTCGAACTTTGTGAACTCTGTCCGCTTCTCCCCTGATGGAGAGTGGTTGATTTCAGCCGGTTCCGATGCCAAGCTGTGTCTCTACACAGGAAAAGACGCCTGGAGCTGCAGAAATCTACAGTAAGTTTTACGGCTGTAGGCTGTAGCACCCATTTCTTCCATTTTCTTCCATTTTCTTCCTTTGTTGCTCGGAAATGTGGGTAGTGATTTGTCACAATCGATTCATTTCTAGTTTGAAGATGTGCCAAGTCATTTTTTCCACTTCCAAATTTACAGCTAAGCTTCGCTCCGAGGATGGTGAGTTTGTAAAGGAGTTCCAAAAGCCTGCAGGTCTCACAGGAAGCTTTTGGTCAGTGGTATGGTCCCCAGACTCTTCGCAGGTGGCCACTGCAGGGGGCGATAAAAAAGTTCGCATTTGGGACCGCGAGAGCGGTGCGCAAGTGGCCGAAGGTTCAATTGGAAGTGGGCTACAAGACATGCAAGTAGGACTGGCTTCATTCTGGATCAAGTGCAAGGCAATGTAAGGTGGTTTAAAAGAATCCAGCAAGAAGAACATTTTATTTACTGTATAGAAAATGCAAAAATAAACTGAAAAAAATTGAAGGGCCGCTATTCGTCGCCTTAGCCCTGTCAGGACTTACCTGGGCCACCGCTGCTCGGCTCATCTCTGTTGCCTTGGACGGACGACTGATTTGTTGGGACGGTGCACTGAAAGTCGAAGGCGTCGTCGATGGCACCCAGGGACCTTTGAATTGCTTGGGCAGTGACCTGACTACAGGAAATGTCATCTATGGAGGAACACAAGGGACAGTGGCCGTGACCCCACCAAGTGGCCCAACATTGAAAGCGACAGTGGGCAAAGGCATCCAACATGTGATCACCCATTCCAAAGGATATTCCGGGGCACCAGAGGCTTGTGTGATCTCCCTTGATGATTGCATTCGTCGCTTGGACTTGACATCTGGTGCATTGAGTGCTCCAGTGGAGTTGAAAGAGTTTGTAGTGGGCGCTGGTTGGTTGGATGTCTCCGAGACAATGCTTTTCTTGGTGACTGGGAAGAAGAACTTCCATTGTGTGTCAGACAAAGAGGTGCTGTGGACAAAGCCAGCGGCCACAGAACGGCGAGCGACCTCCATGGCTGTGATACCTGGAAGTCCAGGAAAATTGGCTGTGGCCCTTGAGCAGCCAGGAGGTTACGTTGGTGGTGTGGCCAGCAATGAGTTTGACATTGTGTTCTTCGAGGCAGGCTTGAAAAAGAACATAGAGTCAATAGAGAGATTTGAAGAAGCACACATGATTCAGAAGGATGTTCAAACTATGCTCAACTTCACTGTGGGAACCAAACTATTTATCTGTTGCTGAGGCTAAATATAAATATATATATGCGTGTAAGTTTTCAACAAAACATCCATGGTGCCGCTCAAAGACTCTATGCTCGAAGCAGGGTCCACTCTAGGTTTGGTGGTGCAAGGGCTGAGAACTAACCTGTTTGGTTTGGGCTGTCCGTTCTATTGCACGTCTCCTAGTGTGGGTTCCCTTGCTGCTTCGTTCTTACTTGGTTTGGTGTTGGGTGTTGGACTTTGCGCTTGGTTGCTCTACAGGTTTGACTTTGTCCCTGTCTTTACCTCCGCCTCGTCCACCCCTGTGCCATCTGCTTCTCGTCTGTCATCTCCTCCGTCTGGGAGGGCCCGCTCTGCTTTGTTGGAATACCTGCATGAGCAACAGCCACGACGGCGAAACTGAGGCTTCCGTGGACTTGCCTGGCCTTCGGGTTACTGTGGTTGGTGCCCCTTCTCGGGTGGCTGATTTCCTCCAATACCTTGCTGGATTTCCGTCTGATCGTGTGCGCTCTCCTACTCCTTCTGTTGGTTCCTTTGAGGTTGTGTCTGAGGCTCCCAGCGTTCCTGCCTCTGGTTCCCGGGTTGGACTTGGACTTGAGACCAGGGATCAGATCGCTTCAACTTTTGCCCGTTGCCCTGACCGTCATTTGGCTGTCGGTGTGCGACTTATTGGCTCCTCCTTGTCTGGCCGTGACCGTGTCTGCCGTGCTTGGACTGCTGGTTTGTGGGCAAAAGCCGTCTTGGACTCCCGGGTGCACAGCCCGAACCGGACCCCTCCGATCGACTTGCGGTCGAGGTTTTACGCGGTGGTTCGTGCGGACGGTGTTGATTGTCCTGTGGTGTTCAAGTCTTCCTCGTCTTACTGGCGTGCCATCGGTTCCTTGGACAACAGCACATCAATCTCCCAGTCCTTCCCCAGTGAAGCTGAATCACGAGTTTACCTCCAGGCTGCCGGGTTCCTTGAAGCCGACATTAGGGTCTTGCCCTAGGACTTGCAGAAATGGCCTTGGATTTGACGGCCGACGATGTCCTGTCTCTCAGCTCTTTGGTGACTGTCGATCTGGATTTAGAGCCTTACGTTTTGGAATGGCCCGCTGTCCCAGATACAGATGGAGCACTGGAAGCTGTGGTTTTGGTTGTCATGAAGCGTCAGGGCGGACTTCTTTTGGCTGTTCCTCCTCTTTTCATTCCAGCGTCCATTCTGGAAAGAGCGAATGCAGGTCAAGATGCTGGGTCTATAGGCGCTTCCACATCTCTGGTGGTTCCTGGGGTCATAGTGGACAATGGAATCAGATCTCCCACGGGTTCATTGCTCGAAGTTTTAGTGGTGGACGTAGCGGCAGATCTGGTCTCGCAAATGAGGGCTACAAATTTGGCCGAGGACATCGCTATGGCTTTCGACCCAGAATCTCCTTTCACTCTTCCTTCACCCGTGGAGTTGTTGCAGGGAGCCAGAGACTGGATCAGAGGAGCTGGAGAGGAAACAGGCCTGAACTTTTACTCAGCCGAAGGTCAGTCAGAGACGGAGATCGACGAAGCGATCAGATCTCCCAGGGCTGCTGCTCCAAAGCGGTCGAGGCGGTTGCCAAAGGCAGGCGCCACTCCTACTGGAGGCGGAGGTCCCTCAGGTCGTCCAAAGAAGTTGACCACAGCAGACCTTGCCATGTCTCTGGATCAGTTGCTTCAGTTGTTCCTCGTCTTTCGGATCAGCTTCAAGACCTTTCGCAGCGTCAAGTTCAGCTGGAGAACAGGATAGTGGCTCCTTCGCGTGCAGGGGCACTTGGACTTGCCCAGCCGCTTTCCAGCACTATAACTCCACATGTGGCAGGGGCTTCATCGGTGGCGGATGTTGTGTCTGCCCCCCCTCCAAGGACAAAGAATCTTGGGGGCCTTGGTTCATCGAATGTGCAAAACTTTCAGCCACCGGACTTGCTTGCTTTGGAGGCGGAGAAGAATTTGCCAGGCCCTCCGGATGGGGACTTGGCGAAGGCAGTATATGCCCAGTCCCAAGCTTTGACAGCGCTTGTGGGGCAGATAGCCCATTCAAGTCAGGACCCCTTGGTGGATTTGGGGGCTTCTTCGGCGAGCACAGGTACCAGGGGCGCTTTGGGGCGAGCTCGCCTCCAGACAGAGCTAGCCTCCCATTCGGGCCAGTTCTATGCAGCAGTGATGAGGGCAATGGCACGAAGGATGCAGCCGACTCAGTCTGCTACGGTTTCATTGGAAGAGCTTCATCGGAGGGGCATCAGTGGAACGCTTTACATGGAACGTTTCGGAGGCTACGGAAGGCACCGGGATCTGGGATTGATTCTTTTCCAGGTGATGGGAGCCATGGACTACCTGCAGGTGGGAAATCTGGAAGCTGCCAAGGACACTCTGGGTTTGTTGGCAGTCTGCATAGATCAGGCGGTGTTGGACGGAGGCAGATTCGATCTGGCGGCTCTCTTGACGTTGCAGGAGGACCCCCCCTCTTCGATTTATGTGAACCGCCACCAGGGAGTCCTGAGCCGATCCAGATCCTTCACTCCCTTAGCGGATCAACGCTGGGTGACAGTGGCTCTCGCTTATGTGAAAGAATTGGACCTGATCAATTCCAAGAGGCAAGAACCCACCAATCAGGGCCCAAGAGCTTCAAACCAGCAGGAGGGAGCGCCCAAGGCAAAGCCTTTTCCCAAGAGGAAGGGGAGAGGTCAAGGTCGAGGAGGAGGGCATCAGCAACAGGCAGAAGCAGAGGAGGAATGAGGCAGAGGCAAAAGTCAGCTGCTGAGAGCAAGAGCGCAGTTCCATCCGTTGAGGGGCAGGAGTCAAACCCTTTGCGGAGTTCTATCAGTTTCAACACCTGGGCCATTTGTTTGCCGAGGTGGATTGCAAGGTCGAAGACAAAATTTGCTTGGCATCTTCGACGCTCCTTTTGTTTTTCCACGCGACAGTCGATGACACTGTCTACCACTGCTTTCCCTTTGCCATTGCCTCAGCTTCCATCGTGCATTGGAAAGGGTTATGCCAGGTTGTCAAGGAGGAGGCTCGTGAAGCTTTGCAGAGCGCGGCTGCTGCATGTGACCATTTTTACTTTGAACTATTTGTATCTTGGTCGCTTCCCTACCTTAGACGAGCTTGGTCGAAAGCCTTCGTGTTCCCAAGAGAAGATTATCTCGAATTTGAGGGCTTCGCTTGCAGTGTGTGGATCTTCCAATGAGCTCTTCAGTTTGGCCCCTGGGAGATCCGGACCTGAATTAGGTGCATGTTTGTATCAGTTGGAGCGTTTCTTTGCTGGCTGTCCTGAGCTGCAAAACTCATACCTCGATAAGCCAATTGGATTTTCTGAGAATCAAGCTCTTTTTCCAAATGAGGAGTACCATGAGCTTACTCCTTATAGAGCTTTGGATGCTGACCGTCTTCGTCTTGTCGGTGAAGGTCGTTGGCCCATGAGTGATTTCCTGGAGGGTTCCCTTTGGCTTCCTTTTGTTGAACCTGCGGTTTTGCAGCATGGACTTGATGTGGATGAAACTTGTGCGCCAAATTTTGCTCATGAGTCACGGCATGAATGCTTTAAGCTGATGAAGGTTTGGGATTCAAGAGGTCTGCTTGAGCTTTTTGATGGGCCTTCTGATGATGGCTTGTTCAGCAGGGTTTTCAATTGCTTCAAGGGGCCGACAGTTGACAGGCAGATTGGTGATCGTCGTCGGGTAAACATGTCAGAGCTTGCTTTTGATGGCCCTTCACAGTTCCTCCCATCAGGGCCTCTCCTAGTGCAGTTGCGGGTTGAAAGGTTCCGACAGTGCTTGCGAGCTTCAGTCACCGACCGACGTGACTTTTATCACCAGGCGAAAGTCAGTTTGGAGAGGGCCCGAACCAACATGCTTCCTTTTTGCTTTCCTGTGGAAGAATTGAGTGGTTTTGCAGCTCTTGAGAGGTTTCAGGAACGTCTCCGAAAGGGAAAGGATGCCAGGCGAGAGGTTCGTGGTGACTTGCTTGGTGTTGAGAAGAGTCAGAAAGCTGCTGGCAAAGAAGGTCTGGTTTTGTTTCCGGCCTTCTCATCCCTTTTTCAGGGTGACCACTTGGGTGTTGAGTTTGCCCTTTGCGCCCATCAGAACCTGCTGCAATCCAATGGACTCCTTGTCGAAGATGAGCAGATAAGAGGCAAGCATGTTTTCCCAGCCGGGCCGCATTACTCAGGTCTGATCATTGATGATTATTTCTTCATTGGTCGTGAGCCCCTGCGAATGCCACCTCTTCACAGTGCTGCTGCCCGAGCGTTGGCGTGTGCCCGGGAGGTCTATGACAGTCAGGGTCTTTTGGGGTCGGTTGAAAAAGATGTAGAGGCCTCAACAAACTTCAAAGCAGCAGGTGCAGAGGTGATTTCAGATATGCATGCAGTAAAGTCTGGTTTTGTCTCTGTTGCCGCCCCAGTTGCAAAAAGGTTAGCCCTGTCAGCCCTTTCCCTTAGAGCTGCCGCCCTGCCGGGTTTGTCCCCTCGTCTGGTGTCTCGCCTTGTTGGAAATTGGACTTCTGTCTTGATGTATCGGCGATGTCTGTGCTCGATTGTTGATGGACTTTTTGCCTTGGGGGTCACCGCTAATGAGGGAGATTCTGGCTCTGTGTTGCCTCTTCCCAGAAGCCTTAGCCAAGAGCTGGTTGTGCTGTCTGTGCTGGCCCCTCTGATGAGTTCCAATGCAGCTGTCTCCTACAGTGGGACTTGTTTTGCGTCAGATGCGTCACTGGCGAAAGGAGCAGTAGTTGAGGCTGAGATACGTGGTGGACTCTGCGAGGATCTTTGGCTAGCCTCTGATAAGCGTGGGCACTACTCTCTGCTTGACAATGGAGCCAGAGAGATTCTCAGGCACCTAGGGGAGGATTTTGAGTGTGACCCTCCTCCTCTGCCTCTTGTGAAGCCAAAAGCATCTCCTCTGCTCTACTTTGATTTCGTTGAGATCTGTGGGGGCGTTGGTGCCGTGTCTGGAGCTGCGACTGGACTTGGACTTGTTGTAGCTCCGCCGCTGGATTTATCGGCTTCCCGGCACTATGACCTGACGAATGAGAGGCTTTTGGAATGGGTGATCCACATGATAGCTGAGGGTCGTTTCAAGTCCTTTTTGCTTGAGCCACCTTGCACAACTTTCTCACCTGCTGCGTATCCCTGTCTCCGGTCGTACAAGGAGCCTTATGGATTTTGTCGCGAAAATCCAAGGGTCATCCATGGGAACTGCCTCGCTTTCCGTTCCTTGGTGCTCTTGCGAGTTGGGAGGAGGTACCGCCGTCCTTGCGGTTTGGAGCAGCCAAGACGGTCGAAGATGGCCTGGTTGTCTGAATGGATTTCTCTTGTCGAGTCAGGTGATTTTGAAGAGGCTGTGGTTGCTGCTTGCATGTTTGGGTCCCCTCATCAAAAAGAGTTTCGATTTTTGGTTCATCTCCTGGAGATTGCTGACCTTGAGAAGCGTTGCTCTAGAGACCACACTCATGTTCGCATTCAGGGCAAGTACACAAAGAATTCGGCAATCTACACGCCTGAGCTGGGTCTTCATCTGGCCATAGCTTTCAAGAATGCCTTACGTCGAGAGGCAAACAGAGAGGAGCCTGAGTGGAGTCTAGCTGGGTTGGAATCGGTTGTGTCGAATGATGTCATGCTCTCCTCTTCTTGGCGCGAAGTTGCCTCTTGGTTTTGGAAGCGTGCTCCCCACATCAATGTTCTGGAGGTTTCCTCTGCTGTCCGGGTTTTGCTTGAAGCTGGCAAGAGAGGAGCACATGCGAGGTTCTTGGCTTTTGTTGACTCCTCCGTGGCAAGAGGTGCTCTAGCCAAAGGTCGTTCTACTTCCAGGCTTTTACAGCCACTTCTGAAGCGTGCCTGCGTCATCCAGGTCTGTTATGACTTGTACCCAGTTTGGCTCTACAGTCCCACCAGGTTGAATGTGGCAGATGATCCTACCAGAGAAGAGCCCTTACGTGAACCTGCGGTCTGTAGCTTTTGTGAGGTTGATGGAGTGGATCTGCAAGTGTTGCATGGCGTTGGCCTTAAGAGAGTTGGTGCAAATTGGGTCCGTTTGCTGGTCTTGGTCCTCACCTTTAGCCGAAGTGATGCCTGCTCAAGTGGTGGAACGCCGAACCCGTTCGGTTGTGGGCTTTATGCTTCCCCCTATGGACTGCCTGGGGGCTTTTGGAGTGGGGTCTACGATGGCTTTTCTTGCGCATTTGATCCTCTTGAGCATTTCCTTCTCTCTCCTGGTGGGTTCGTGTTTGTCCTTCGTGATCTTGCCCACGGCTGGGTTTTGTCTCTTTGTGGACTTGCCAGAGACCTCCTGTTTGTGTGCTGGGTTTTCTGTTTGATGCTGACCCTTGGTGTCCTTGGCATGCTCTTTTTGTCTCGGCTTGCTCGGCGTGTGCGTTCTCTGTGGCTTGTTTGCTTCTGTAGTCTATTTCTCAGCCCTGCACCTAGGTATGTAGGTTTGGACTTTCATTGGGGCGTTTTAGCCATGGAACCAGCCTCAGTGGCCGAGCGGCGTAGGGCAGCTGAGCGAGCTGGGATCCTGCCGAAAGGAGACCGTGTAGCACTTGAGGCAACAAGAGGCAGGCGACGGAAGCTCTTCAGACAGTTTCAGGTTTGGCTCTGGCAAGAAAAGGGGATTTCACTTCTTTACCTTTTGAGAGAAAAACCTGCAGATCCTGAACGTTTGGCTTACTGGTTGGTGCAGTATGGCGGTGCTCTGTATCAAGCTGGTAAGGCCTACGGTATCTATGCAGAGACCATAAACAGTGTGGCTGCAGAGCGACCTCAGGTGAGAAAACAACTGGTTGCTGCCTGGGATTTTGCTTATTCCTGGGTATCTGAGGAACCGTTTTCTCATCATCCGGCCTTACCAGCCTCCATTTTGCTGGCGATGATGTCAGTCTCCATTCTTTGGGGGTGGCTGACGGAAGCCGCAATTTTTGGCTTGATGTGGGCTGGAATACTCAGGGTTGGTGAGGTGCTGCAAGCTTCCCGAGAGGATTTGGTTCTGCCACGGGATTCGGCCCCTGGTGTTCGTTATGCACTCCTAAAGATAAAAGAACCAAAGACAAGAGGAAAGCATGCAAGGCATCAAGCAGCCAGGGTCGATCCCACTGACATCGTTGAGTTGCTGGATTTGGCTTTTGCGAAAGCAGACCCAAAAGCGAAGTTGTGGCCTCTCTCTGGCTCTACCTTACGAAAGCGTTTTGGTGATTTGATGAGGGTGCTGAAGCTTCCTGAAGGGTCAATGGGCCGACTTAAGCCTTTCGATCTCGCTTCACTGCGACCCGGTGGAGCCTCTCACCTCCTGAATTTGACAGAAGATTCAGAGGTGGTGAGGCGCAGAGGCCGCTGGGCTACAATCAAAACCATGGAGATTTATCTTCAAGAGGTGCTCTATGTTACCTATGTGGAGCGCCTACCCCAGCAAACAAAGGAGATGATCCGAGTTGCAGCTGCAGGCTTCCCAGACCTACTGCAGAAGGCACAACACTTTGTTGAATGTGGCATCCCTTGCTCAGCCTGGTATGCCCTGTTGAAAGGAAGACGGGAAAGAGTGGCAAAAGACGGATGAATTTTATGCTGCTTTTGGTGAATAGACACCGCAGCAACAGAGATCAATCAGCAGCGTGGAAAAGTGCTGGCAGGAAACTTGCGTGTAAGTTTTCAACAAAACATCCATGGTGCCGCTCAAAGACTCCCACCCATTTTGGAGTCCCATCCCCTTTTCACGGCAGTCTCCTTTCAACAGGATGAATTTTATGCTGCTTTTGGTGAATAGACACCGCAGCAACAGAGATCAATCAGCAGCGTGGAAAAGTGCTGGCAGGAAACTTATATATATATATAAATAAATACTATACTATATTATATTTTAAAAAATGAGGACCCGGCCCACCATGGAGGTGCAGGATACGACTGCAGATGGTTTGGTTGAAAAGGCAGTGCTTCGGAAACATCTGGCCGAAGTGAGCACCATGAAATTCTCGCCGTCCGGAGAGTTCTTGGCAACAGGCTGGACGGCACTGACAGATACAGAAAGCTGCATTGCAATTATTGCATGCATATTGAATTGCATTAAGCATAAAATGAGCACGAAGGTGCATCAGTTCATGTCTTTCAAAAAGGTGGGTTGCACGGGCTGCACGGGCAGGTGATGCAGCCAATAAGATCTTCATTTGGAGCCTAGCCTCAGGAACTCCAATGATCCACCTCTCAGAATGGGGCTTTCACACCGCGAGGATCGCATGCTTGGAGTGGTTGCCAGGCTTGGGTGGTCAGAAAGATGTGAAGGAAATAGACTTAGATAGACATAGAAATCATAGAAGAAAAATGAAGAGAATAGCCAGAATAGCAACAAAATCAACAAATGATCGAAGGAGTTCCCTTTCGATCCGTCAGTGGGTTCGCTCTGGCATCCATGCATCGCGACAACACACTCCTCCTACAGGTTTCCTATCTGAAACTTCCGCTACCGTTTTGTGCGGTACTATTGGTATTTGATAGTATTGGCAGTTAGTAATTGGAGTTTGGCAGTTTGGCAGTTTGGCAGTTTGTGGAACAACATCTTGGGAGAGACTTCTGACCGTACAATGCTTGTTTCACTTGCACAGGTGGTCGGAAGCTGGTGAGTGGTTCACTTGATCGGCACTTATTCCTGTGGGATGTAGATGCTCCAGAAAAGCGGATTCAGGCACGGCCGACATGAGATGGATCCGTGAGAATGGATGATTGACAGTTTATCCCTCGATATTCCCTCGATTGTTGCATGACCCTGTAAGACATTTCACGGGTTCTAGCAGCTACTAGCATGTTTTGGTCATGCCTTCCCTTCCTATCTCACGTACTTCCACTTACACCTCCTTGCCATCTCTTGCCATCTCTTGCCCATCCCTTCAGGTGAAAGAGGCACACAAAGGTGGTGTCACCTCGGTGGCCGCGTGTGGGGAGAGCAGCTTTGCTTCCGTGGGACACGATGGCTTTGTCCTGGTGCATGGCGCTTGAGCTGAAATGGGTCAGATGTCAGATGAAGTGAGCTCAGAACTTTACTGAGCTCAAAACGGAGCATTGTTGTGGAGCATCTTGCAGCTCCAGCAGGGTCGAAGTGGATCCCAGCTCTGTCCAATGACAGAGCTTCTGGCACTGTAACAATTCCGCAGAAGATGCACTGGTTCCAATGAAGGCCCTCATCTTGTAAGGGCAGTACGACTCAATTGCTTGAGAAAAGTGTGTTCTTCTGGGAACAACGTCTTCATTGTCTCTGAAATCATGTGGTGCGGACTAGATCTGGGAGATCCGAATAGAATAGCTAGCAGTAGCTCTTTCTGGATAGACGACGCAGACTGCTTTTATTGCGCGATTTGAGGGTCTCTTCACTTGGATTGACTTCCTAAAATCAGTCGATTTCTGCAAGCTTTTTAGTCAAGGATGCTGCCCCTCAGGTAGTGGGGAAAGACCCAGAGTGATGTTGAGATCCATTTCACAATTTCATTTCTTGGCCTCTAATTCCGGGAAGCCAATGACAACAGCGCCATACACATGCTGAATCCACTGTCCATCCCATCCAAGAATACGCCATAGCCGCTTTCACAGAAGAAAAACTATTGCGTGAAAGAACGTGGCAGGGTTCAATTAGGAAATGATTTTGTTTCTTTTCCCTGTATAATCAGAAATCAGCTGCTCTTGAGCGCTGACTGAAATGTCAGCAAGAAACAGAAACCAATTTGCTACAAATGTGACTCACATGTTACTGAAGTCTTTTCTCTGGCTGCGCTCTGGCCGGTTGGCCACGCTTGCGACCACTGCAAGCCCAGGCCAGGATTTTTCCATATATTTCCATATTTTTCCAGTTGTCTAGCATCTATACAGAAGGCAGTTTCCCAGGTGTATTTTCGTGTGTTTTTATAAATTTGATGCCACGAAGAACTTCAGTTCTGGAATAACCGTGCCAAGGCCAACAGCATGGCTGGGGCAGGGAAACCTGGTTGAGACTTCAATGTCCTTTTCCCGACAAGGTCGTTAAAAACGGGTTGTCCGCAGAAAATGAAAGGATCCAGAAACTGAGGAACTCAGGTGTCCATTGCCATCCAGGTTGTTGAACTTGAAAGCATTGTTGAATTCATCCGTGTATATATAAGCCAGGGTCAAAATGGTTGAAGACTACTTTAGTATTGCAGGAGTTTTTTGTTAGAGATGTGCACGAAACACTGTAAAGCGATAGGGCCCCCCAAAAGCGATAACCTGGGACCATACACGACATTCCATTAAACTTGGCGTAAACCAAGCAAATACTGTTGTGCACATTCACAGAACGGGCCGGGCAAAACCGATGCAGGAAGTGTTGCCGAAGCACCTGAAACCAACAAAACTACTACTCGATCCATTTCCGAGCCTGTTTAGGAATGGATTTTGGCTTCATGTTGGATCTCGATAGGGCCCCCCAAAAAACGATAACCACAACAATAGCAACTATGCAGATGTAAAGGATTTTGACGGGAGCTCATATATATATAATATGTATATGTATACCTATATATATATATACAGGTATAGATAATATTCTATTCTACTTTGCATTTTACCATACATTTTTAAAACATCACAATGGAACCTTTTTTTTTTTCCATGAGAACAACCCTTGGTGCAAAAGGGGTAATCTAGCGACGTGTGACAAACTGAACGACATCCAAAGCATTACAAGCTATCCTTTTTCGCTTCTTGTTGATCATTTGCAATTTTTGGTCGTGCTTCTTGACTATGGGGCGATTGACGTTGACTGGCTGGGAATGAGCACTGGGCTCCGCATTGGACAGCCTGCGGTAGCCAATGCTTTTTTTGGCTTCGGTGACTCTCAGTCTTGCGTTTGCACACTAAAGTGCTAAATGTCAAAACTGGAGTCCGCTGTGCCCAGTTCAGGTTTGGAGGGAAGATGGCTCTTATGAGTACGCCCCTGGCGAAAGAGCCAGATTGAAAGGCCTGTGGAACTCTTCAGAAATGTCAGGTTGTGAGAGCGTTCCTTCTTACTCAAAAGATTTGAGGGCATTCTACGGTGTTCTTACATTCTCAGGCAGCCGATTTAAGAGCATGTTGGCTGGAGGCAAAGAGAAGGGTGAGAAGGGCAAAGGAAAAGGAGACAAAGGAAAAGACAAAGGCAAAGGCAAAGAGAAGGGCAAAGGCAAGGAGAAGGGCAAGGACGGGACTTTCAGAACCGTTTCATTCTAGTCTGGCCCCTACTCCCTTGGAAGTCTAGCCCAAGAAGTCAACTTTAGTATTGGCTTCAAGCTGCATGCAACCAAAGGCTCTGAAACTTCGAGAAGTCTTAAGGCTTTGAAACCAGTGTCTCGTTCACTCTTAGTCCTTTGCACGGTCAGACCTCCAGGACAACATGACAGCTGCTGAGCGGTTGGCTTTTGCACAAGGAGCCCTTTCAGCTGGGCACTAAGTTTTTTTTATGCTGTGTCCTAATCTTTTTTTTTTTTTTCCAGTTTGACTTAATTCAATGACTTTCCTCTGCAGATATTGTCACCGGTGCCACTCAGGCTGATGGCCCTCCGGCCAAAAAGCCACGCCTTGATGGTGAGCAGATGCCTTATAAGTTGATCACCGTCAACACACACATATATATATATACATACACACATATTTGCATACCAAACAAGTTGGGATGTGGGATACTTCTCAGACGATATTTCGCACCAGGGCTAGTTTATAGTATTTGGATACAGCAGCCAACAATAGTTGTGTGGAATGCCTCGAAGAATGGTCCCCACATGCTTGGAAGAAAGCACCTAAAGAAGCTAGACAGCTACAGCTAGACCCATTTCTTGACGCTTGAAAAACACAAGTTGGGATTGCGTTGTGGTTCCAGGCTTCCTCAACTCCCTTGGATTAGGCCTGGTGCTGATGATGAAGAAGAAGAGCTTCCAGAATTTGATTTTGAGAAGGACCTGTCCATCATGGAGCAATCTAGATTGTGCCATGTACATCTGAGATCTGGATTTGCTGCTTGACATTCTAGGATTCTAGGACATTCTTAAATGATGTTGTTTCAAAATTGTGCCGAATTCCTACACAGAGTTTCTACGGCTTCAAGGATGGTGAAGCTTGGTACTTTCCTTAACGACTCTCATGATATGGCCACAATGCCCTCAAACTAGACCCAGCGGGCTACACATGCAGGGAAGCAAGGGCCTTAGTGGGAAATACAACAACAGATGGTCGTATGACTAAGACTAAGAACTAAGAACTCAGTTGATTTGTACAAATGGCCAATGTTTGGGTGATTAGCTGTTTGGGTGATTGGCTAATTTTTGATCATTTTCAATCATACAGATGAAAGGCTGTCTCCAAGCTATGAGGAATGAAAGAGAAATGTATGCGTAATGGCGTAATGAATGAGCAATGAAATGCGTTGAATGATCAGCTGAGTGTATTTCTTATCCTGGTAAAGATGTACAAGAAACAAAACTGTGCAGTATCAACTGACAGGCTATTGTCTGGTAATGTCGTGTCCAGATGTGATTTGTCCAGGACTGGAAAGACAAGCCTGTGGCTCTCCTCAATCTGAAGGCTGCCCACCTGTTCCCCACTTGGCATCACTTGAGTACTCGCTTGCGGTCATGGTATTTGAAGCGCAACTGCACCTGACCTTGTGCCTATCGACGTGCATAGTGTCATTTCTTTCCGCTGAAACTGCATGAAATTGCCATTGTAGGGAGCAAAAGAACTGAATGGGCTCATGGCAACTGTCAAAGAGTCCGCACCTCACTCTGAGCCGATTCAGCAAAGGGGAAGTTTGCATCCTTATAGAGCCAAGGTATAATGAGGACACAAAGCGTTTCCTTGTGACTGTGGAGGATGGGGTGACGTGATTGCGTGTTGTTTTTCGCACAAACCCTGGCAAGGGGGTGTGACTTTTGAGACAATTGTCGGATTTTGTGTCAGGGTGGCAAGGGGGATAAGAGCATCAAGATGGAGAACCTCTTCAAGGCTGTTTTCGTGTTTTAGCGATATGCTCCAGGGACACAATCAGTGGTGACGAATCTTTCTTTCGATGTACTGACGTGCTTGGTGAAGCGAAATAAACTTCTCTTTTGTGCATGGCATCTTCAGGTCATGACTGGTTGCATCGTGAAGTTGCGCGGACTTGACTCGATCGAGTTGAATGACTGCGGAAGTGGCAGACTTGTTCGGGGAAATCGTTTGGGCTTAAACAAAAGGAGATGATAGAAGTGGGAAGAAGGTTGTACTCATCATCATCCGATGACTAGACAATAATTTTGGCCAATTTTAGCCATTTGTTTGAACATGTTGGCCGGCAGGACTGCATTGGAGAGTGCGGTCGACTGGATGTCACTTGGCTTCTGCGGTGTGCTATTTTCAGCCGGGAAGTTACTTTCTGAACGAACCGGAGCAAGCTTGGCCAGGCATAAGCAATAATTAAATAATCGTTTTTTTCGATCTAGCACGATCTAGGAGTTTCTTTCTTTAGGGATGCCATGTGCCTGCCTGCTGGTTTCGATTTGCCGGTTTGGGCAAATGGGATCAGAAGATGTGTGCAGAGGTCGCTGAGTGTAGAAGTATCATCCCATTTGAAATCACGTGGGTCGCGTCACTGATCAGACCGATCAGATGTCGCTTATTCCAAGGTGGAGAACCTGAGATACGACATCACCTTGTCAGACGGAGACAATTCTTGCGAATGGTTTGCAGATGTTGCAGCGTGCAACTTTGCAAGAGCAAATTGTAAAATAGTAGGACGCAATGAACGAATTGTGTAAGTACACTGATTTGGTAGGACGACATGTGAAAGCCAAGCCAGCCAATGTGGAGCTGGTGGCAAAGTACGAGTCTTCCAAGGCCCTGCAAACGGTGTGGGCAATTCCAGGGCCTTGATTTTTGGCTAGAGTTCAATCCATTTTTTTCTAAGTTTTTCTCTGAGTGCACGCAACCCTTCCAAGCCTGTTGGTTCCGTGTCCAATGATCACTCTTAGTATATTTTCCCCTGTTACTTTTGTGCATTTTCTTACTGAGCAATCTGTGCATTTTCTTGCTTCAATAAACTTAGCAGAATAAGCCGCAAGGTGGCTGGCGACGTGGTGCAGATGGAGCGGATCCGCGCCGCCAATGGGCTGCGAGCTTGTCCCTCAAGAGTCCAAACAGACATCCATTTGGACATACTCAGTGCAGAATCTGACTCAAACAGCAACAGGTGACATGCTGATTTTTGAGCAGATAGCAACTGGTGATGTAGAATTGATTTCCGCTGGCATGCGCCGCTGTTCAAGATGCTTGTTCTTTTGCAAACCACCACTATCACCACTAGAAACATTTGTGCAAAATGGGCGTCCTTGCCAGTCCTCGAATGTCGAATGGTTTGAGTTCTCTGAAAGGATCGCTTATTTGCAGTGGAAGAATTTGATTTTCCCGCCCCACTGGTCGTGGACTCAGCCAGTGAAAACACAGCCAGAGTGAAAAAACTTGTCATTTGATGCATATCACTCGTGCTTCATCATGTACTGTATGCACAAGTATGTAAACAAATGCTACTGCCCTAGACTTGTAGCAGCTACTTGTAGATGGGGAGAGAGTTGGAATCCGCTGGCTTTCTGAAATTCCAAAATTCTTTGAGATCGGAAGATGTCGTTCAATGCTTTAATTAAACTCACAAAGATCTTGCCATTGTCAAAGGCAAAATCCAGCAACTTCGGGCTGATGTTGTCGATTCCTTTCGTAGCGCATGATTAGAAATTACAACTACTATTAGTAGCTTTGACACTTTGTAGAGACCGTTGTGGCCATGGGTGCCTGCTACTGACTAGGTTTTGCCAGCCAATGCTTTGGAGGCAGTCTTTGCTCACGGTTTGTTCAGTTTAAGTGGGAACTGATGAATTCACTGAGAACTATCATTTGGTGCAGTGGTCTGATCACTGTCCTGATCTAGTTGCCTCAATTGTCAGCTGATGTTTTCAGGACTATGCAAAAAAGTTCCCCAAATCTGCAGCATCCTCAGCAAACTGGGACTGTTGAAGTGGAGTGTTTCGTCAAGCCTCACTGAATCAGATTAATATGAAATCACCATTTGTTGGTCGGACCATTTGACCGCTTTAACACGCAATCAAGCAGCTAGCGGCAGCTAGCGTCCAGCAGTGGAGGGAGTTGGGCACTTCAGGTTGTGATTGGACGCTCCAATGCTGCCAATCCAAAGGGTGCACAGGTTCTACAAAGAGAGGTGGCTGGTGTGCAGGGGGGCACTGGATGAGTGCAGCTGCGGTAATTTCCATTGAGATCTTCTGAGCTTACATATAGTAGGACGATTGCATAGATGCAGTTTTTCAGACTGCTCAATTTGGAATAGGTGACAATGTCACAATCCAAATTCATCTTCATATGCTTCATATGCTTCATATGCTTCATATTCTTCATTTCTCTAAAGGGTAAGCCCGGGTAAACCGTTTCTTCGTTGGCAACTCTGCAGGTGGTGAGTGCAACAAAGATCCCACCGGGCTCTCGCTTGGTCTTCATCTCCATGCCACGAGACAGGCAGACTGGGTCCAGCGACTGTGACAGATCAAAACCAAAAAAGTTGATTCCATTGATTCCAATGATGTTCCACAGTTAAGGATGTTAAAGTATTGGGATCACGTGAAAGTTACGACAGTACTGTGGCACTGGCACTGTCGTCAATGTCCATGTAGAGGATCCTCCAAAATCACAATGTAAACTGACTCTACTGCTGAATTTCGTGCTCCATGCCCGCCATGCCCCATGCGTTGAATTTTCCTCTTCTGGTTTGACACTCCTGCGCTTCAGGTGCGTAGCACCGCAACTGGTGGGTGCCCCAGTGGCAAATTCCACTTCGATCCGGAGCTTTGGAGTTCAACACTTTTTCTGGTGCTGTCGAAGGACATTGCTTTCTTTGGGTCAACAGGTGGACACAGGTGGACACAGGTGGACCACTTGAGAATGAAGTTCATGTGGATCAATGAAATAATTCTACCATCCACAGAGGATTTGTCAATATTTCTTGTCGTCACAATCTTCACAGACCGACCATGCGTCATAAGGGGACCACGGATTGAGCCTTTTTTGGATCACTTTGCCTGTTTTGGCTTTCTGCAGCGTTTGAACACCAAAAACAGCTGGCCAAAACCAGCTTAAGCCTGCCATGACTGCCAGTGTCAGTCCAGCATCAGTGGTTGCCTCAGAGAAACAGGGAAGGTCAACAGTGCTTTCGGATAGCCAAACTGGAAAACCGTATTGCATGTAGCGCATTGTAGAGACCAATCGAATTGACGGCAATGATTGTTTGTAGATGCTGCAAACTTAAACACAGCCACCATAATTCAATCAGTAGAGGTGTCAAAACACGTATCTAGTAAACTAAAGGTTTTCTGAATCTTCTATCATACAGGTAATATGGAAAGCATATGGAAAGCATGCAACCTTGCTTTAGGATGCTTTAGGTTGGATCACATCCGCTGCAGCTCCCAATTCCCATTTCCAAACATCCACTTAGATCCACTTAGCAGAATGTTGGAGCAATTGCAGATACAAAGCTCGATAGAACCAATGCGGAGGTCACTGAGGTCACTTGGGAATTCCTCCTAGAGCCACCCCATTTCTGAGAGATTTCCGAGGTGGAGGAGGGTCGTGGTGCCTTCGGCCCTCCCATGGCTGGCATGGTTCCACTCTTCACAGTCTAAGACTGAGTTCTTCCTGTAATTTCAAGTGTCGTTTGAAGCGTGGAATGTCTTCCACAAAACAATCTGGAACAAATACATAATTTGAAGTTTCGTCCCTGTCATTGGTGAAGTTTCAGCTTGAGAAACGCTATGAGGCGAGGCCCAAAACAATCTGCTTTGAATTTCAAAGCATCTCATGCATTTCGCTTCCACCCAACCTTTCTTTCTAAAATCCCTCCAACTTCCTCCAGCTTCATCCGACTAGTGATTCTCGCTTTTACACTTCTACAAGCCACGCTTGCCGCCGCTTGCCCTTGCGATGCCTCAGCAGGTGCTTGGAGTTTTGACCTTGGCAGCTTGGAATTTCTATTTGACAGCGGTCGGCTTTTTCGCTCTGTGGTTCCCTGGCTACCAATGGCCTTTTGTAGCCTCCATGACCTACCAGGCTCGATGAGTTGTGTGACACTCTTGGATGCTTGCAGAAACTCCTTATAGAGCTAATGTAGAGTTTGGAGTATGTAGTGATGATGATACTGTATTGATTCATGCTGATTCATCATGATTACATAATCCATCTAAAATCAGCAAAATCAGTTGTCTTGACACTGCTGGCAATTTAGCAGGCTTTTCTTTGGCACCTCGCTGTTGATCTCACCCCTCTTTGAGCTGCTATGCAGGCTATGAACGTGATTGGTACCTCAGCCATGGTGAAGATTGGGCAGCGGGTGCCTTTTCGACCGGCCTATGTATTTTCCTTGACATTGCAGATGATTATGATCCTGGTCTTGCCCATGTTGGCTTTCTGGTCTCCAGAGAAGGTGGAATGGCTTTGCATGGCTTTGATGATTTTCCCACACCAAATGTCTGCTGTCTTAAGTGAGAGATCTACACAGTCCATTGAATGATTTGATACGGACCAGGAGAGTCGATTGACGCATGCCAGACCTGCAGGTTGATGGCGAAGACATTACTCCATCTACTTGGGGCTTTGCTTTCGCTCTCACGTGCTGTGCTGTTTCTTGACCAAAATGTACTCACCTTGACCTGAATTTGGCGAACTCGTCAGGAATCGAGAACAGAAGCCTTTGCAACACAAAGATGGTGCAAAACAAATCAAACAACCCTGTTTTGGTATTCCAATCATCCCTTCCTGGTTTCTAGCCAGTTTGACCTTCAAACAGCCTTGACACCAACACTCTTGTGTGCAGAGAAAATCCAGGTGATGGGCCTGGCGGAGAGTTGCTTTACTTCTCTTATTTGCGGATTGGCTGGTTCCATGGGAGATCCCAAGTTGATGGGCGCAATCATGGCCGGTCAAGGATGAACTGGGAGGGCCGAGGTGAATGGTAGAAGCAGGGTGAAGAAAGGTGTTGTGGATCGAATCTTCTGAAAACTCATGACTATTCACGGCTTATCCTGACCACAAAGCTGTGCCTGGCATTTTTACATATTTTTACCACATTAGGGCCTCGAACTTCCAGCACATTGATGGAATGGTGTGGGATGCGTTTCACGTTTCTCTTTCTAGCGGATTGCCCTTCACGAGCTGTGATAGAAGCAAAACAGTTTATATAGTTCATTTAGTTTGTTTTTTTTTGCGTTTCCACCCCGGGAGTGGGTGATTCTCGTGGGAAAGGAATTGTCGGCGTGGTTTGTCCAGTGCTGATGCTCTCCCTCAAGTTCCTGTCTGGAGACCCTATGCAGTGGAAATATCAGGCCTGGTCGCGGGCATGGGTGCGGCCTGGCAAGTGGTCCATGGGAAGGTCTTTGGAAGCTCTTTGGAAGGTCTTTGGAAGGTCTTTGGAAAGTGTTCAGAACTTGAAGATTTGAAGCAAGTTACACTTGGTATCCAGTCGAGTCAGTCCCAAGTTCACATTTTCACGGGCCTGGACTGTCCCAGGTGGTTTTCGGCTTCTTTGGCTTCTGCGCAGCGTTGCAGTTGTTGGGGCTCTTTCTGGTGCGGTTTGTTCCTGCTTCTCATCAGGATCTGTGGGATCGGCTCCAGTTTGCGATGTATGAAGCTTCAGGCCATTTGCAAGGTATGAGTAGCACTGACTAGGACAAGTCTGAGTGCCTGGTGCCAAGCAACGCTTCTTGCTAGGATACCCGACAACCAGAAGCCAACATGGTTGATGTGATTCGTTTCTTGGCAGCAGTCTAGAAAGGGGTTTGGTTGAAAAAGGCCAAAGTGACAGACTATATTCTACATGCAACATTTTAGGAACTTGAGCTCTCATTCTTCGCACCTTCAGACCTCAATCTGACAAACGGGAGAGATTCGGACACCTGACAACAAGCTGACTTGTACCACAAAGAAAAGTGCAGCCCCCTTTGTCCAGACCCCATTCTGCCCATTGCATCCCATTGCCTGTTTTCACCGCTCTTGGGACCTTGCGCCTCATTTTGCATTTCAGGCTCCTTCACTGGGTCATTTACGGTGGATTCGGCCCGTTTGCTTCACACGCCGAGAAACGTCAAAGAGGTATTGAAGGCCACCCTGTTTGGCATCTCATACCACATCTGACACCACACCAACGGATTCATGACCGAAATTTCTGTGTGTTGTGATTTGAAAGACCATTTGTCACAACGATGGGAATAGACCCAGAATAAAAAGAACAAGGCTTGACCAATGGAAGGCCTTATCAATCCTTCTAAATCCTTCTATTCAAATTGCCAACAGTCACAACTGAATATCTGGGGAATCTGGGGTGACAGGTGGTCACTGGTATTGTAGATTAAAGAAGGATTAAAGCAGCTTGTAGTGACCAGCTTGTGCTGGGTGTCTTTTTTTTAAAAAAAAATATTGGCAGGATGTTATGCCACAGCTCGTCAACGTTTCGATGATCTTCGTGGTGACCTTCGTGGTGTTTCCTGGTGTTGCCGCATCATGGGCTCCGCAGCTGGAATTTTTCACCAGCAAAGGCCGCTGGGAAGCAGTGGGAAGCAGCGAAAATCTCAGTGGCATCGTGTTCTGAAGGAAATCGGATTCTGTTCTTCTGGATATTTCAGGTCTATTTAGGTCTTCTATATTCTTCTATGGTCTTCTTTTGCAATATGCTTCTTTCACTGGCAAATGACATTTCAAGTGGTTCTCAAAAGTGAAAAGATGTGCATGAATCAAACACGCACATGTTTGACTTGCGAGCATCCCAAGACGCATGTCAAGTGTTTCGCGTTGCTTCAGTATTTCAGCAGGCTTTTACCCAATTTGTTGCTTTGGCGCTGCACTTTGACATGACAATGCATGTTTTTGGCTGACAACTGCGCTCACATCCAGCTCGCGCAGCCAAGGCAAACTGGGTCAGGACTGGTACACCACATTGGTGGTTGGCATCTTTCAGATCTTTGACGTAGTTGGTCGATCTACACCACAGGCCTGGGAACCTACTGTGGAGTTCAGGAAGGTTTGAGGTCTCAGTTGCAATCTCCGAGGTAGATACTGAACACGGAGTCTGAATGTTTACAGCTATGTGCATTGCGTGCAGTCCATATGAGGGGTGCAAATAGAAGGATCAACCACAACATTTAGATAAGGTTGCAGCGCATCAGCAACATAAGCTGCTTGAAATTTCAAAAAAAACAACCAATTGACAGTTAGAGACAGACAAAGGCAGCGTTGCAAACAGGTGGACCATAAACAAGTTCCAAAGGAGTCCATGAAAGAGATGGAACCATTTCTACATACAACAAGTGAAAGACTCAGATTCTGAAGGGGACCACACTTTCCAACTCAGTCACTATTCCAGCGTTTTCTGCTGAAAGCTGATCATATGAGGGGCTCTGCACATGCTATCAATTTGTATAAGTGGGCTGACGCCCTGGTGCCGCCGACCCCCCGAAACGATGTTTGACAAGGCTCGGCAGGTAGGGCGGTGTAGAAGAAAGCGGGAAACAACAGGGGACTCTTTGAAGGCTTGGGGTAGTGTAGGCAGGGGCGGCCTGTAAAAGCAATGGTGGCAAGTTGCAGCGCAAGACTCTTGCAAGGGCCACGTCGCCGCTTGGGTTTGTTTTGGCGGTGCATTGCAGAGGATGGCCACAGCCTCCGTTGAGGAGCCTGCGAAAGCTGCAGCGGAGGGTTTTAGGCTTTTAAGGGTTTTGAGGGTTTTAAAGGTTTTAAGGGTTTTAAGGCTTTCAAGGCGTGGCTATAAGGCTTTCAAGGCGTGGCTAAAACGTGCCACGCAGCAGTTTCGAAAGTCTATATAGAAGCAGTTTGCAGGGCCTACGTCACTTCTCGGGCTGGTTTTGGAAGCATACCGCGGCCACGCAACAGCGTCGAAAGGCGAAATAGAAGCAGTTTGCACGGCTTACGTCGCCACTCACGCTTGTTTTGGCGGCGTGCCGCGGCCAGGGCGAGGCTTGTTTTAGCCAACGCCTCTGTTAGCGACCCGATAGCAATATCTTCAAAGTCTGCTGCTCTACCAGGTCAGACTCTCAGACGGCAAGCTTTCGTTCCACAACTGTTGGTTGCATTTTAGCTGGGCATGGTGGCATGTTTTCTCCGTCAGTGTTTCTTTGTTCTTGCTTCTACCCACATCAGTTGATAGGGGTTGGGTGGGGTGGGGCATGTTGACGTTGGTTTGAAGTTGCATCGGATGTGCACGCTACGGTGGACATAGGGTTGGGTGGGGTGGGGCATGTTGACGTTGGTTTGAAGTTGCATCGGATGTGCACGCTACGGTGGACATAGGGTTGGGTGGGGTGGGGCATGTTGACGTTGGTTTGAAGTTGCATCGGATGTGCACGCTACGGTGGACATAGGGTTGGGTGGGGTGGGGCATGTTGACGTTGGTTTGAAGTTGCATCGGATGTGCACGCTACGGTGGACATAGGGTTGGTGCCAAGTCTTGGCGGTTGGAGTGCGGAAAATTTCGCCTGCCATTTCGCAACGTGGTCCATGTGAATGTGAAGATGCAGGTCAGTAAGATGATCAAAGTGAAAGGCAAACGAAAGCTCACTGGAACACAATTGCTCGATCAGGTGTGGCGCCATCTGAAAAAGTATGTGCCCAAAGAGTTGAGCACTCATGATGGATTGGGCACAAGAGATGCTGCACGGCTTGAGCAGTATGTGCGATCCTTTCAGTTTCGCTGGAATCAGAAAATGATTCTGGCAGATGCATTGGCCAAAAGAGCTGCAAAGCATCGAGGATAAATGTCCGAAAACATGACCCCGCAGAAAAAAGAGAGGTGTGGATCGCCATTACACTGCAAATTGAACATGATGCACATGCCCCTACGCAAAAAATGGTACAAAATGCATGTGTGCAAATTTCCAATATGAAAGAAAACATACAAAACGTGGGACATTGGAGACAAGCATGTATGAATGTGGTGATGAAAGGCCCAGGGTCGCTATCAGCGGCGATACCTTGTTTTAGCAGCAGGGCCCACGTCGCCCACTTGGGTTTGTTTTGGCGGTGCCTGCAGGGCCTCGGTTGAGGAGCCTTCGAAAGCTGCAGCGGAGGGTTTTAGGTTTTTAAGGGTTTTGAGGGTTTTAAGGGTTTTAAGGCTTTCAAGGCGTGGCTAAAACGTGCCACGCAGCAGTTTCGAAAGCCTACCTATAGAAGCAGTTTGCAGGGCCTGCGTTGCTGCTCGGGCGCCTGCAGCAGTCTTGCAGCAATTGTCAACAGGCTGAAGCTGCAGCAAAGGTCGGCAGCGAAAGCTCTAAGCTGCAGCGATGCGCGGCAGGGAAAGCTCTGACAGGTGAGGCCACAGCCAATGCCACACACCTACGGTGATCCCAGGCGCTGCCCCGCCTAGGCCAAGGCTAGGCAGGGGTCGGCGGATTTCGACGCGCATGTGGCCAAGGAATCAACGCATGTGTCCAACAGTAGGAAGCTCCACCACTAGAAAGTTGTGTGTTTTGTGGCAGATCGCTTCTGGCATAAGCAGGGGAAACTGGTTGTGCCCTGCTGACAAACCTGCCGCATGCCTCACAAATAAGACCTTGAAACTTGACAGAACTTAATGAAACTTGAAGGGTCGAATCGAATGGAATTTCGACTTGTTTTGGCCCGTCACGGGTCGTAATCACATTGATTTGTTTCTCCTCCGTGTGGTCGTACAGGCCTTACAGAAGATGGGCGTGACACCTTCTCGGCTCTCCATCCCCGTGTGGATCCGATGTCTCTTCATCCCCGTCACACGGCAGTGTGGAGAACCATGTGAGAATGGGGGTCCGGTGAAAATTCGACAAGACAAAGGGGTCTCCTATTGGTTGCTGGTCGCTGTCATGTCATTGTTTCAATGACTTTCCAACATATTCTTGGGTATGAACTTAACTTTGCAGCACCAGTGCATTTCTTTTGCAGTTTTCCTAGATGAATCGGTTGCCTTTTTTGACAAGTTGTTGGGTTTGGCGGCTTGCACCTGTTTCAGGGATAAACAGTGTTTATAGCTTGATAGACGTCAAGTTCGGAGAAGCTGGAATCTCTGTTTAAAAGTCTAGGCACAGGCTGGAGTTCAACATTTCTTGGGCAATGTTCTTGAATATTTCCGAACACTTGCATTGGTTTGGATCTAATCTAATCTAATCTTTTGATATGTGTTTCATCAATTCCGCTCCCCGTCCTGTGGAATGACCGGATGGGTTCGGGAGCTGTGAGGCTTTTATGCTGCTGCAGAGGCATCCGAACTCTTTGCCAGCTCCGTGGCAGGTCTGGACTTGCCTGGTCTTTGGTTTTTAATCTCCTAGAGTCCTGGAGTCCTAGATGCTGTTTTCCACGTTGACCTGCAATGACATTAACATTGATGTGTTTTCTCTGCACATTTCACGCGACAGTCGAGGGCTACACCTTCCGACCGGGACTTTGTTGTAATCCCTTGAAATCTGGAATGATATGCTTGGCGTTGTGGGGCGTCTTCAATTATGTAATCCACGTATGGTCGAATGGATATGTGCTCCGCCATGCTTCATCTGACTTGCGTGAATGACTGTGATTATCTTTGCGATTGCTTACAGAGTCTGCACTCTGCACTCTGCACTCTCCACTCTGCTTCTCTTTTCTTTTCTTCTCTTCTCGTGTCTTCCTGGTGCTCATCCTCTTCCTCATATGATCGCCATCCTCATCCTCATATGATCGTCATCCTCGTCAACATCCTCTTGATGATGATTGTGGTGATGATGGTGATGATGATGGTGGTGGTGATGATGACGATGACGATGACGATGATGATGGTGATGATGATGACGATGATGACGATGATGATGATGATGGTGATGATGATGATGATGATGATGATGGTCATCATCATCACCATAATCCCCATCATCCCCATCATTCCCATCATCCCCTTGATCACCATTGCCCTTACACGTGGAACAATGCAAAACTGGGAAGGACTACTTGTCCTTCCTGACCATGGCCTTGTTTGCAGCCTCCAATGGCTGGTGCAGCACATTGGCCATGATCTACGGACCACAACAGGCGTGGAGCGGGGCTACCAGGTATCCAGAGGTCTTTGCCGATTATAAATAGGTACCGATACAAAAACAGGGCACTTGTAACTGATTGATTCTGCTATTTCAATGCCACTCATTGTCTATATATTCAAACGATTCCAAACCTCTGAGAAAAATATTTCAGCTGCAAAAAACACATTGCGAACTACTGATGTGGCTGCTATTTTTTTGTCAGTTCTCTGCTTTGAGGATGATTCCATGATATCATTTCTTAGGTGTAAGTAAGTTCAAAGATGTTCAAAGTTTTGAGCCAGTGCCACCAGAGGTGCAGCATCCGGACGAGCAGCATCGCGCTGGGGTCATAATGGAGCTCGGCCTTATCATCGGAATCTTCGCAGGCTGGGGCTGTAGCATGCTGCAATTGGTAACGGTGAACTGGTGGACTCGAGGAACTACAAGTCGCAAAACCAGAACGCAGAGAACGCAGGGCAACTGACTAATGTGTCTGTTGAGTTTCTTTGTTCCCATGCAAAGTGTCTGGTGAGTTCTGAGCCCACCGTTCCGATCCGGTTGAATCCGTTCCCCAATCGTTCCCGCAGGTTCAGTCCTCGCTCTGCTGACACAATTCGGTGTGTAGTAAAGGACCGGGAAGATGTGCCACTCATGAACTGCCATGCACACGCTGTGCGCACACATGCCAAACAGCGCAGCCCTGCACAGAGGTACCATTGGAGGCTTCTGATCATGTGTAACTTGTCAATGCTTCAGCTGTTTCCATGCAAAATGCACAGGAAGGACACACGTTTTGATGTTTGCAGGATTCATGCTGCACAGAGTGCCAGATGCGAAAGACAGGTCAAGATGGCACAAGCGTTCATTTTCTGGAGAACACATTTTGCCGATGAAATGCCAGGGTCTGTAGAATCCGCTCTGGATGGTCATGGATAGGAGATGATAGGAGATGTAGTCTTATGGCCATCTGCGCTGCTGAAGGGTTACGGCATGTTACCGCCTCGCTTGTGCCCGTGCGGATCCTTTTGGCCTGATAATGCAGGATTTGGCAGTGTTAGTGTGTACTGTACAATGTTGATCACATAATTCATTCATTGGCTCAAGACTGAGTAGCCCTAGCTGAGATCACACTGTGCAGCAGGGCTCACAAGGCGCTGACCTTGTTTCGATAGATCCAGGGCCCCTGGTACGTGGGATTGCTACTTCACCCCACATTCGCCCCAAAAGAGTGAGTCAAGCCCCCCCAAAGTCGCCTGGTCCCCCAAAGGCCCTTAAAAGTAGACCTTGAATGTTTGAATCTGTAAACGGTATAAACAGTACATTGTTGATCATTGTTGCATATGTGCATTACATGGATAAACGCCCCCCAAGTCCACCCAAGCCCCACCCCGGTCACCTAAGCTTAAACCCTAATTGGTTAAATCTGTGAATATTGAAGTGTAGCATATGTACATTGAATAGATACATGTGTTTGGAAAGTTTTCTCATCTCCGGAATTCCCGCCCATTTCCCCCAAAATCCCCCCTAAGAGTAGACCCTAAATGGTTGAATTTCTACATAGTAAACTGTTCAGAATGTGATGTACACATGTAAATCGCAAATGAGCTATTCCAGTCGGCACAAGTGAGGCCCTTCCCTGCTGAACGGTCTAGTTGCATATCATCATATAGGACTCGACGTTCCAGCAGCTGGCATCCAATGAGTGATGGTCTCCCAAAGGGAGGCTGTTTCATCTGGCGATCAAGTGATCTTCATAGTTGATGGCGATCCATTTTTGCAACTGCGTTTTGCCATGTCGTTTTGGTCATGTTGAAAACGTGACCATATCCGAACCGGAGGCTTCCCTTGTTTGGAGGGTCTCATCCGTTGTTCACGTTTTGCAAAAAAGCGCAGCTCCGACAAAGCATGTGGTGCGAAAATGATTTCATCGATACAATAGTTCGATGATTTACCAAGTTTGTCAGCATGGTGATGTTCCAGTTCGCAAACTGCAACACATAACCATAGGGAATATGTTTCATGATATTCCATCATCATTCACCATTTTCTGTTAGTTATATAAATCCTATATCCCCAAGATACCCTCTGGTAAACCAACACAACTATGGAAAATCACCTTTTCAATGGATAAATCAACTATTTCTATGGGCCATTTTCAATAGCAAACTGTAACAAATTACCAGAGGGTAATCCATGAAATCACCATTTTCTGTTCGGAAATTGACCCTCGTTTGCCCTCTTTGCCCTGGCCTCCTCATCTCAAACTGCATGGAAGTAACTTGAGATACTTGAGTTGATATGAGGTGGACCCATATGGACCCATTTGTTTGCCCAGTTGATAGGGGATCCTTGATTAAGGGACGTGTTCGCTTGTCGGAGAGAGATACATACATATGAGCGTATAATATATAATAATATATACATGCATATATGTAATATATACATGTACTGTATATATATACGTATATATATAATATTATATTATATAATGATAATAAATAATAATAATGATGATAGATAATAATAACAATAACAATAATATATGTATATATATTATACATTTTTCATTATATGTAATAAGTACAAATACCATTACTATACATAATAATATAATGTATATAAATATCCATACATATATACTGTACATAGAAGTCGCTGTTCCGTTCTCAAGTTACTTTATGCCAAGGCTGAGATGAGACACGATGAACTTCTGAGACTAGGCAGGGGACGTCTCGAACACTCCTAGAATTCCTTGACCCTCCGTTCTGCTGCGTGGCAGGAACAGGTGTTTTTAACTTTTCCAATCTTATATAAAGTATTGTTGCTCCTGTTGTAATGCAAATGTTTTGATCCAAAAATGAAGATTCTCAAATGCCAGCTTCATCATGTGTTCCTGAGGCAAGTTTGGAGGTTGGCTTGTGAAGTGATGGCCCCAGCTGGACTGAGCCCTGCAGTGGAAAGTCATGACCGGGCAAATTCCTGAGATTTTTTTAAAAGGATTCTGTGGGGGGGCATTGCGCGCAACGAGTGAAATGCAAGTCTCCTGGACCAATGCCAGGGGATCCGCTTGTGGCTTGGTAGCTCCATTATCCTTATTTAGAATAGTGCTTTCACATTTTCCATCCGATCTGGAGATGCTTACAGCATCTTGCAGCCAACTTCATTTCAGCGCATCCTCTCGTGCAATGCCAAGGCGTTTGGCTCCAAGACCTGTCTATTTCCTCTTGCCTGGCACCATCGCGAAGGCAGGGCTCAAAAATCGTGAAGTCATAGAAATCTGTAGAACACAAGACTTTTGCCTCAAGTTCTACACTGCAGAGCAGTGCCCAACTCGGAAAGCTGCAGTCAGTCAGTACAGTCCAAAAGTGGAAGATTCTGCAAGACCATTTCTTAAATCACACAGATCCAGTTGAGTCACAGTATGTTGCAATCATCTCAAATGATTCGAACGTTGTGCTTTCAGACTGTGCCTCGCAGGGCCCTGCTACAGCACTGAATTCTGCCACCTGTGTGGGAGATCCTAGATGAATGCCCACGAAATGCCACAAATCTTTACGTGTGGAAGCACAGATTTGTTTGTCATGGTGGAATCAACCTCAAGAAATCGTCAGGTCCAGTTAACTCTGGGTGCTATCTGCTGAGTACCGATTTCGGTGCCCTTTTGATTTTAGCACAGACTTCACAGACTTCACCTTGGTCTTCAGCTGAGGCATGGCCGCTGTATGTGGAGCTCTGTAGTGACATGGTACTCCTGGAGTCCGATAGATGGCAGAAGTCCTCCTGGGTGCCTCGGGAGTCAGGAGACATTGGACGGACTTGAAACTGGTGTCATGTCGTGTCCATGTTTCAGATCTGGAATGTTTCAGATGTTTCAGATGTTTCAAGTGGTTTGATGACGTTTGAATGTTTATCAATGTTTATCAACGTTTATCAATGTTTCAAGTGGTTTCATTCAGGTGCAATTTCAACAAATTGTTGTGCCCTTTGAGGATGGTTTCATTTCAGTGGTAGACCCTCCAAAAACCAGAAGCATCACCGACATTTTTGAACCAATCCTTGGTGTTTTTCAGCAGCCTTTGGCAACGCCCATAGTTTTTTTTTTAAAAGCCACTTACGGGAGATCCGCGTCAGATCCTGCAACCTGTTGCTTCAGGCACGTATGGATGCGCTAATGGCTGTATGGGCAAAGACTCCCATGTACGTCCTGCCGGAGAAGTGAGCATCCCCAACAAAGTGCCATCATGCCTGAATGCTTAACCAGGCAAAGTAGAGAAAGTGCCAGCATGTCTCTGTGACTGCATGACTGCATGATTGCATGACTGCAAAGAGATATGTGATATGTGCATTCCAGAATCAACTTCGGACGGAATGCAGTGACAAAGAAGCTGTGCTGGATCAATATAGGGCGACATAGGGTTCAACGTTGGGTCTTGTTGATATTGAAGCCGGATTTCAGTATATTATACTCGTCCCTTGATTCACAAGAGGGATAGATGCAAATGCAAGAGGTCAAGTATACAGTTGCGTTCCCAAATCCTATACGACTTCCAGTACTTATTGGTTTCCTGTTGTTATGCAACCCTGGAACCTGAAGGAGAGTTGTAGTCAACCATATTACGAAGCTGGTCGGCCATCCGCAAGGTCAGCATTTTGGGTAGAACTTTTTCAGCAGTGTGCGAGCAACCAGAGGTACTCGCCGGCAGTGGCGTTGCCAGATGCATCTCCTGTGCCAAAAACAGCTGAGGACACAAGACTTGTCTGACTTTGTCTGACTTATCATGTTGGATTAGAGATTTTGATGATGGAACTTGGGTTGGAGCCGGAAGTTGTGAACATTTTTTTGGTCAGGCTGATGTCATCGTTCAGTCAAGTCAACTGGAACAAAGGGCTTTTAAGGTTGTCTCTGCAATGCCATGCAAGGGACGATAGCCTGTGGCGTACTTGTTAGTTAAGAACAGAGTTCAGTCATGACTCATGACACCACCAGATTTCAAGCAAGACGACCTTGATTGGGATTTATGATTCATGCGTGTTTTATGTGATGAAGCACGCAAGGAAGATGACGCGAAAGCCAGTGCTGCCAGCGAACCGCTGAGCTTTGCCCATGAGGCCACGATTCACAGATTCCATGGAAGGCTCACTGAGTGTAGAACCACTGCATGTAGCCCCGACTGAGTGTAGGAAGTTAATGTGGCATATATTTTTCCAGCATTTTGCTGCCAAGCCAGAATCTTCGTAGGAAGTTAATGTGCCATCTACTTTCTTATTTCTTGTAGATGTGCTGTAGCCTTGCTGGCTGGCAGTTGGCAAATTTTTCGATCCTCCATCATTTCTGTATCAAAATTAGGACAAGATCCAAAACAAGCAGACCAAGTATTGGCTGATGGCGAGATGCAGAACACATCGGAAATAGCATCGAACCCACACCATGGATATATGTAACTATAAAAGTGCATAATATACTTTCGACTTGCGTGTAGCATTTCTGTATCTCAGCGCTTTGGCCGAGGAGCCCCTGACCATTGGCAGACCAGCGGAGGTGCCTTCTGCAGATTTCCGGAGAAACTCGGGAATTTTACTCCACACATTCAAACTTTGTAAACACCACGACACAAAGATTTGAATAATGTCGAGCGCTGATTATGTATTAAAGATGACGTTCACATCTATTTATCGCATTCGTTTCTGAATCTCTCTAATTTGACATGTGCGCTGTACCTGACCGCGGGAATCTGAGCTTTGGAGCTTTGCCATCAATGATCTGCCAAACCCTCCATGGCCAAGAGTTCCTTGGTTTAAGCAAACTGCAACCTTTTCCCCTCTTAAGTTAGAATGGCGAGATCAGTGTTTGCCAAATTTAGGTTCTGTTGATTGTAATTAATTTTGGAGACAGAAGTTTAATTCAAAGTGTTTACTTCGTGTTTCTTTATGTTTCTTTTTGAAGCAGGCAAGCTATAGTGACTAGTGTTCCTTTTTTTGTTTCGGCCATGGTGAGGGTTTGTCGAACCCTTCGCCTTTGCTATTGGGCTTGGCGGAGAGGGCAGCTGAGGCCCCTGCAGGGGGTCGTACGTTGGGTCGTACCTTGGGTCGTACCTTGGGTCGTACCTTGTTGTCATGTCATTCTGTGACACACCTGAGACGGGGTTCACCGTTTCTTCCTTAATGTAACTTACACCATTTTTCCCTTTTGTCTTACTCTCAGCAAGAATCGACTCCCTCACACAGGTTGTATTGTGCAGTTTTGCAGGGGTTTCATTTAGTTGTTGCTCTTGGAGACGATGATGATGATGATGATGACGATGATGATGATGATGACGATGATGATGATGATGGTGATGATGATGATGATTGATGATCATGATGATGATGATGATAATGATGTTGATTATTATGATTATGATTGATGATGATGATGATGATTATTATTGATGATGATGATGATGATGATTGATGATGATAATGATGATGATGGTGATGATGATGATGATTATGATGATGATGATGACCACGATGATGCTGATGACCATGAATGACGTTGTCCTCGTTGTAGTGCTTTATCATTCATTTGAGGCGCAATCAAACTTTAAATCTGGTAAGTAAAGGCGCTGCATGAATGCCTACATGGGACCATAAAAGAAGGAAGTTGAAACTTCCTTGGAACGTCGAGCTTGCCGAGCTTAGGCAGAAGCTCAAGGCAGCGGGAAAGTTTAGTCCTTGGAAACTGTTGACAGTGGCTGAACGCCAACATGGTGAAGTGTTGCAAGGTCCAACTCGCACATGTGACACGTGAAATGTTGAACCATTTGGATATCGTGCCCCGATGGCATGCAGAGCAACTGCATGAGGTGCAGAAACCAACTCTGGCTGTGAAGCGTTTGGTTTGAGGAAAATGACATGCGCTTGGTGAAGTTGCAGCCTTCAGTGCCACATCCTGTCATAGCACAGGGAAATGTATACGAGTTCCACTAAGCCAATGAATTAAAATTCACTAGGTTGCGATGAGGAGACAGCTGGTCCTTTTGTGAGTCATCAAAGGCTATATTTGCGTAGGTGACAAAACTGGTGCAGCTTCGAAGTCTCAAGCCAGGCTATATAGTAGCTGTAGCTCAGGATCTTGTGAGCATCACTACCGCTGATATCATATAAGGTTCTATGGTTATGCCTACAAATTTGTAAACTTATATCTGCGGCCCGCAGCAAGTCTGAAAGACTAGATGGCTGACAGAATGGAGGAGGAATGATCTAGAGTACAGTCCACCAAAGACCGCGTCAACCGCACAGCCGCATCGACACTGCATTACTTTCTAATGATTCTCATGTTTTCCGCACTTTTTCAGCAACTTTCGGCCTTTCTCACGGAAAATGGCCCAAAGTCGGCCATCATTATACTTCCCTTCGTGCTGCTGTGGGGCTTTGGCCTTTTGGTTCCTTGGACGCGACTTGTTGGTGCAAGACTTCCATCAAAACCGCATGAGAACACACAATCCAGTTGGCTTCAGTATGCTTCATTTAATTTCATTCTTCATGACCCTGGTCAAAGTTGAGAAAGGGCAACATTTGGGTACAAACCTCAACTTTGCTGACCATGGCCCTATGCGAGAGGAGTAAGAAGTCCACAGCGTCATTTCTGTCCAAGGGTTTCAAGTAACAACAGCTTAGTTACCTGTCTTCCTGTCTGTCATTGACTGATTGTGGCACTTATTTGGCTAGGAATTCAGCTCTCCAGTCTCAGGCCTAATCGGTGATACACTTTTTGGATGCGCCGCCGCAAGGGTGGAGGGTCAGGGACTGAGGGTAGGAACGAGAAGGACACTTGAACACCTATGAACAGGTGGCCAGTTTGTTTTTGTGAATTTAAATTTGCCAAGGGATTTTTGAAGCGGGTCTCAGTGTCTCAATGATAGTTTCTGTTCAAATCCTGACGGTTGGCAGCTCTTCCCAAACTCGGCATACGTGTTCTCATGTGACATGAATGGCCGGATAGGGCTCAAACTCCCTGACAAAGCTTACAGCAGCTGCGGGTACATCGGAATGGCGCGCCTTCTTTTGGGAAATACGGCGTCACCAACGCCAGATGGGAAAAGATACAACTGGACCTTTTACGTGCGCGGGGAGACAGACGAGTTGGACTCTGTGACCATCAAACTGCATCCCACCTTCAAGGATCCAATACGCGTTTGTGACAAGCCGCCCTTCGAAATCCACGCAAAAGGTGGGGTGACATCGGTGACAGTGACATCAGCCATATCAAGTCTCCAAAAAAAGTTTTCACGATGTTCATGTCGGAAAGGTCCCCAGATAGCAATGCAATCTTGTGAGGTTGGGGTACCTTCGACATCACTGTGCTCCTTAAATGGAAAAGTGGAGCAGTGCAACGGACAATTTGGGAGCTACAGTTTGACCAGACAGATGCTTTCAAGGAGCTGCAGGCAAGGCTTTGCTTCAGCGAGATGTTGAATATGAACTGTAGTCGGACCACGGTCTTTATTTGTTCGTGTGTTGTTTGCAAATTTTGCACGCTTTCGCACGCGGTGGGGTGGGCTGGGTGGGCTGGGCTGGGGTGGGTGGGCTGGGGTGGGCTGGGGTGGGCTGGGGTGGGCTGGGATGGGGGGGCTGGGATGGGCTGGGGTGTGTCAGAACGTTCCTTGCACTTGCACATTGACGTTAGGGTAGAGACTTCAGGCTACGTGAGAGACTTGCTGCCTTGCGCTGGCATGTTATATTACGTTTGACACTTGTTGCTACGTTAGAGACTTGTTGCTATTGCACTTACGCGTGCACGTGATGTTATATACGTTAGACACTGGTTAAAGCTTGAATGAAAGCCTGACACCGTTGAACTTCTTGCATGGCTTAGAGAAACTCCAGTGAAAAGCAACAAGAGAAAACAATTTCGAAGAAGTTTTGGGTCCAAAAACCTACAGCACACAACAGGGTAGAGATACAAATTGATAGGTTTGTTCCCCCTGCATCTGTGGGGACAAGTTACTCATGCCTCAATTAAGATAAATCACAGTGGACATTCGCGGTTGGAATGGCATTTGGAACATCACACATGTTTAAAAAATCCGCGGTCAAGTAAAACCTTGCACTAGTTCGCCTCAAAACATCTCATGGCACGTGTTGTCCTTCCACATGCGATCCCCAAGAATTGCAGCAGTTTCGCAAGGCTTCTCTTTTGTACAACTTTCACGAGCGCAGAGTTTGGCATGAACAAAGGATTGTCATGGACTGTCAGGAAGTGAGGTTTTCAGAATTGCCTCGAAACTCGAAACGTCGCAGGTACCTTCCAAGGTACTTCAACGAGCAGCTCTGCCGGGCAGCTGCCCACCTCCAGCGCCACCTGCACCAGCTGGAGAAGAGGCAAGGCCATGACAAGAGGAAACCGTTGAGTCATCTGAGTCCGAGATGCGGAGCATATTTTTTTTGGATTATATCCTATATAACAGTAGCCTTACTTTTCATAAACTTTCATAAAAATCTCTCTGAGCTGCATTGCTGCTTCAGGCTTCACCTTCTTTGTGGCCAGCATCACAAACATGACTTGTGAAGGTATGTGTTCAAGTTTTAATGGCAAGGCAAAACGTAGTTCTGGCGGTAGAGATCCGTGCTAGACCCGCGCTAGATAATTACCTTAAGAACATGCAGTTGCCCGCCGGTACTTGAAAATGCAAGAACACTGTTTGCTTCCAGCTGGTAGCAGCAACGGGGATGTGGGCCATGGAGTCTGCGTTGTTAGACCAAACCAAGGAACCATGGAGGGTGTGATAATTAGTGTTTCCAGTAGCCCCAGCAGCTCGACTTAAAGGAGCCGCGCGCTGGCTACGTCTGCAAGAGTTTGATGCAAATCAGTCATTCACAACTTGCTTCACTCATGTTTAAGGTCTGTTGGGACAATTAAACTTTAAAGGCGGAGTCTTGCAAATACGCAGCGAAGGGGATTTTCGTGCGAATCCGGGAAAAGGAATTTAGAGAAGACCTCGCGTATATATAATATATATAGAATAATATGTTCTACGTAATCTCAAATTATTTTATATGATCTTAGAAGGCACCCCCCAAAAGATCTACCATTTTGAAGGTGTTTCTAGTATTTTTCCAAGATAGGGGAAAACCCCAAAATGAGGTACCAAATAAATAAATCGAAAATAAATGAATGAACGCATGAATGAATGATTAAATAAATACATAGATAAACAAAAATATATATTTAAATACATATAGTTTAACTATATAAATAAATATTTAAATATGTAAAGAAACAAATAAATAAATAGATAAATAAATAAATAAATAAAAAATATATATATGTGTGTGCGTGTGTATATACTCAAATAGTAAAATACACATACATGCACACGTTCACGGACCTTGAGACAAACTTTTGAGACATGTAGGTTCTGGTATGACCAGGTGTTGAGAAGGGTCTTGGGACTTCTTAGGTCTTACCCTGCCCAAACCGTGCTTAAATGCAATGTACGTTGATGTGGAGATTCATCATGTCAGATTGACATGTTAAGTTGGGCCGATCGCGCGCCTTAGATACTGCATAGAATGTCCTAATCCCTTGTTTTGGCACCGTGAACTCCTTTCCTGTGGCTGGATTAGAGCAGCTACAAGGGCCTGAGTGTCCTCGTCAAGTGGGTAAACGAGCTGAGGACAAGGAAAGTTTGAAAGCATTTTGGTGCAACTTCAAAGAAGTTGAATACAAAGTGGTGAGGACGGTAGAACCCCAAAACCGCTGGAGGGTGATCGGAAGAAATCGCAGAGGGGATGCGAGAACTTCCCCTGTTTCTTAAATGAAAAGGAAGAACAAATGCGGTGAGGACGCCAGGGCCTCTGCTGATTCTGTGTCACTGAAGAACGGCAGTGAACACGCTGGAGCCTCAGGCTTTGGCTTGCGGCTGGCTAAATTTGTGAAGAAAGGCAGCGAGGATGCGAGAACCTCGGTTTGGCTGTTGGTTGTGTTGGCTTGGCTCTGGGTTCCGGCTTCGGCTACTCGGCCCCTACAGGGCCCTGAGCGCATCAGGCGGCACGGTGCCATGGAACTCGGATATAAGCCCTAGCTTAAGAATTATGCTTCTATGCTACTTTTGGTTCGTTGTTGGAAATTGGCAGCTTGGGCTCACTCTTGCTTGAAGGTCAGTGGTTGCTTGGTTTTTTCCGGTCCGTGATCCGCTGGTCTGTGGCTTTGTGGGTGGCAGACGGGTGCGTGCAGTTCGGAAAGGCTGGATGCGACGTCTGGTTGAACGTATAAGGTTGAGATCGGTTGACAAAAGGTGGATCATCAGGCATGCTGAAGCATTTGGTTGGTTGCTTCTCTTTGCGCTGGTCATCAGAGGAAGCTTGCCTCTCATTATGATGCTTGTGGTTTGCAGAAAAAGTTGAGAGGTGGTGGCGGGACAAGGGCATAAGACGCGAAAAAGAATCAGCACGCCTTGCTGACGCAGCTTACCAAAGTTTTGGAACAGTTTGGATCCAAAACTGTGGCCAGCAAGGGTAAGGAAGACAGGTTGCTTGGAGCTTTGACACGGCTTGTTGACAGAGCTGAAGAAAAATTCCCGTAGGCTTGCTTGATCGGTTGGATGAGTTTGTGTCGGTGGCCAAAGCTTGTCATTTGAAACCCCCAGGTCCTAAAAATCCGAAATCCACTGGTCAAAGTAAAAAGGTCAAAACGCGCAGGGCGGTGAAAACGCTCGCGGACACAAATTATTGGGAGGGGGGTGTTGTGAGCGCCAAAATGTTTGCATTTTTGACATTTCATTTCTGCAAAGATACCAAACCCTGTTCTTTCCAGAGCCAAACATTGTTGCTTCTGTAACAAAAGCAACCCCTGTGCATTCTCAACAGCTCTTCCAATGTCCTACATAGATACATAGTTTCAGCCAAAGCAAACATGAATAATAGATAAAAACAACAAAACAAACAAGTGTAAGTGCCTTTCCAAAGAGTGCAGCATTGCTTTAAAAATGTATAGACTCTACATCTCTACAGGAGTTTCCCTCAACATATGCAATAGTTCTTTTGGACATGTGCATTCTAAACAGGTACCAATTTATGCAATATGTTCTCTATAAACAATGAAGGACAATGAATTTGCAAACTGCACTTGTAAAATAATTTTGCATAAAGAACGCCATTCCTCAATGTAACAGTCCCTTTGCAAAAAGTGTGGCATTGTTTGAAAGATAAGTAGCATTTAAAAAATGTGCATTTTAAGCAGGCACCAATTTATGCAATATGTTCTCTATAAATAATGAAGGAAAATAAACATGCAAACATCACTTGTAAAAAGACTGTGCATAAAGAACACCATTCCTTCATGTATGCAACAACCTTTTGCAAGCATTGTTGCATTCTTTGAAAGATGTGTAGCATTACTTCCCAATTTCAAGGAGAACCCTCCTATGTATGTACTGAATGATTTCAGAAATCATAGCATTCCTGTAGGAAAAATGTAGTATGCTGTTTTATAAGATTGAATCTATTCTTGAATTACCACAGCATGGTTTTGAAAAGAGTGCCATCTGACTGACACATTGAAACATGTGTTTTACCTTTGAAAGTGCAGATTCTTGTTTGCAAAGTGGGCAACATTATTGTAAGGAAGTGTAGCAAGAGCCTACTCTAGATTCCATTGATGATGCAAAAGCCTGCTTTTTAAATATGTTTTTTTGTTGTAAAGCAAGTATTGCACCACCTTCTGCAGCATATCCTTTCAAAGAGTACAACTGTTCTATGGAAATGTTGTTTTGTTTTGAAAAGGGTGCTATGTGAGTCGACTTTCAAAAGGTCTTCGCAATGTGCAATATCTTTTCTTTGTGAACAAAGTAGAATATGGCTACATGCCTATGAAAAGAGTGCAGTAGCACAACTACCTACAATATCTCTTTCAAACTAGTGCAGCATTTGCTCGAAAAAAAAAGCCAAATTACTGCAAACTGTGCAAAATCTGTGTCAATCAAGGAAAGCCTTCCTTTGAAGATGCACATACGTATGTGTATGTATATATATATATACATGTGTGTCTATGTATGTGTATGTAGTTTTAAAGTGAATAGTTTCTTGGCAAATCTGTGTAGCATCCCTCCAAGAAAGTGTAACATGAGTCTACAGCAGATTCCATCGATGATGCAATAATGCTTGAGAAGATGGTCGTATTACTCCAGCAAAGTGTGCCATCAATTTATGCAACATGTTTTTCAAAAAAGTATGGCATGAAACTAAGGTTATTATCTAGGACATGGCTGAACATTTCAAAATTGGAACACACAGTCTACAAAAAGGTGCAGATGGATGAAAGTTACCAAAACAAAAAAACTTGGAAAAAACAAAAAACAAAAAAAGTTTCAGAGAGTCTTGGCTGGGACCCCCCCCTTCCAAAGAGTCTAGAAATATTGTGTTTTTTTGTTTTTCCAAGGTTTTTACCAAGTGTGGGGTACTTCAAGGAAACTGGCATGAATCATAGGCAAAGCTGTCAAAGTGCCTTGGGGAATGCAGTAAAACATCTCAAAATATCATCTTAAATCATGGGAAAACTGCACTCCCAGGGGCTGCCGTTCTGCATAAGAAAGCCAAGAAGCATCATGAGTGGATAAACGACTGCCAAACACACGCGAATGAGAGCAATTAGGGATAACAGCAATGCCAGGACCTATCCTTTAGTTTTCTGTTTGGGGGGAGCTGAGAGCTCCTAAAAGCAAAAGTAGTTCATTGTTTGGGATGCGTTAGAGAAGGGATGAAGCAGAATTGATGTGGATTAATCTGGATTAATCCTGGGATGCAAAACTTCGAAAAAGCCAAAAAAACTAAAAAAACCAAAGATTTGGCAACTAGTCCAGACATCAGAGTAGTTGTGGAAACATTGTTTTTTGTTCTTTTCCCCCACCTGCCAGGTGAGGGTTGTTAGATTTTATGTCAGTTGCCTGCTCCTCTCCTCCTCTCCTCTCCTCCTCTCCTCTCCTCCTCCTCCTGCTCAACCGCGACCCTCGACGCACAGTGTTCTCTGTCGGACCTCAACCACGACCATCCACGCCCAGTGTTCCCTGCCGGACCTCAACCACGACCATCCCCGCCCAGTGTTCCCTGCCGGACCTCAACCACGACCATCCGCGCCCAGTGTTCCCTGCCGGACCTCAACCACGACCATCCACGCCCAGTGTTCCCTGCCGGACCTCAACCGCGAGTATCCACGCCAAGTGTTCCCTGCCGGACCTCATGTAGGAAGATATGGGACAAAGAATGTGCAGAAGAAAGTTAGAAAGAATGTGCACCGCTGGACCTCAACGGCCAGATAGAATGCCAGAAGATATGCCAGGTGGAATGTCAGATAGAATGCCAGAAGATATGCCAGATAAAATGCC